TAGTCATCCCTCTCTTGAAGGGGAAAGGGGATTAGTGGGACTGCAGCAATCACCGAGGCATTAAACTACTCACATGCTACTGAGACGTATCAGAGACTACCTGCTGAGGCACCAGAGGCTGGAGCAATCTGGATTCACTCCTGGTAAGCCCACAGTAGACTGCATCCTGGTGCTTCGAGTCATTGTAGAGCGCCGTCATGAGTTTGGACATGGGCTGCTCGCAGCTTGCATTGACTTTAAGAAGGCGTTTGATACGGTGCATCGCAAATCACTCTGGGAGATCCTGAGACTAAGAGGAATTCCAACAAGGATTATTGGATTAATAGCAAACCTGTATACAGGCACTGAAAGTGCTGTAAAGTGTGATGGGAGCTTGTCGAGCTTCTTCCATGTTAGTTCAGGTGTGAGGCAAGGCTGTGTTCTTGCACTAACACTTTTAAACACTTGCAAGGATTGGATACTGGGTAGAGCTACTGTCCAAAGTCACTGTGGAGCAACTTTAGGCAATATCAACGTTACAGACTTTGATTTTGGTGATGATGTTGTTATTCTATCTGAATCTTTGGAAACCCTAGTGAAGGCTCTTGATGCATTTAGCAATGAAGCAAAGCCCCTGGGGCTAGAGGTCTCCTGGACCAAGTTCAAGATCCAGGATTTTGGGGGCCTACTAGGAGACCCTGTACAGTCAGTACGTGCTTGCAGTGAAAACATCGAGGTCACAGAGAGCTTTTTATACCTCGGTAGTGCAGTTCATGACTCTGGCTGTCAGACCAGGAAGTCAGTAGACAGATTGGCCTGGCAGCAGGCGACATGAAATCACTCGACAAGAATATTTGGAGATGCCGGTACCTGTGCAGAAGGACCAAGCTACGTGTCTTCAAAGCTTTGTTACTGCCTGTTTTACTATATGGTAGCGAAACCTGGACGCTATCTTGTGCTTTGGAATCTCGTCTTGATGCCTTTTGTAACAGATCCTTGGCGGGACCATGTGTCCAATCAACAGTTGCACCGTGAGACCGGTACAGGACCTGTTACTTGCACAATCCGCGATCGCCAACTCAGGCTGTACGGCCACTTGGCTCGATTCCCGCAGGATGACCCTGGCAACCAGGTTGTCTCTGTTCGAAACAACCCAGGGTGGAGGAGGCCTGTGGAACTTGAGATAGGCCGGGCCCCTGCCTGGCGGCTCGACATGAGGGACCCTCATAGGTAGAAGCGAAGGATGAATGCGGCTATGCGCCCCCGCCGGCGTTAGCTCCCAAAATGATGACATATGTGTGTGTGTAAGTATGTATGTATGTATATATATATATGTATATATATATATATGTATATATATATATATATATATATATATATATATATATATATATATATATATATGTATATATATATATGCATGTATGTATGTATGTGTGTGTTATGACTCTCAAATCTAGAGATTAGAAATCGACTGTCTGCAGTGGTCGTGATTATTTAGATCTTAAGAAGTACTGCAAAATATTTTGCCGAAAAATGAGATTTCCTAACATTTTAGAAGTATTTTTTTGAAATATTTGATTCAGAAAGAAGAAATATACATGCATACGCACACTCACTCACATATACACGGACACAGAAAAAGTATATTTGTATATATGTATGTATATATGCTTACATATACACATAATTATAAATATCTATCTATCACTCTATCTGTCTATCTATATCTATCTATATTTCTGTACGCACACACACACACACACACACACACACACACACACACACACACACACACACACACACACACACATATATATATATATATATATATATATATATATATATATATATATATATATGTATGTATGAATGGATATATGTATTCATGTACACACACACACCCATATGTGTGTGTGTGAATTAATGTTACTATCCAGTTGATTTGCCTATAGAAATATATGCAAAAATTACAAAAAAGGCATAATGGATAAAACGAATTATCCAAATAATAACGATAAAGAGATAAAGAAAAAATAACAGTGATAATAATCCACAACCTCTACATTTTATCTCCTACTAGTAAGTGTGTTTTACATCGGGACATATTATGTTTAAGCTTAGAAAATCGCCTGCATTGCCTCTCGCCTTTCACCGATGGCTTCCGTCCATAGGTGTTCCTGCCAGCCCGAAGCGTAAGGCCTATTTTTTGTATATTTTTCCTTCTTCTTCGCTATTTTTTATTTGGTTAATAACCGAGGATGTCATTTCATTTCCGTGTAAAAAACACTTATTTAATAAGCTTTACATCATTAGGGAAGGTTTTTATTTATTGTTATTTATTGTGACTATGTCCTCATACACATTATTATTATCATTAGTATTATTATTATCATTATCATTTGTCACCATTAGTATTATTATCATTTGTCATCATTAGTATTATTGTTATTATTGTCATTATTATCACTATTGTTATCACTGTTGTTGTTGTTATCTATTATTATTAATATTATTATTACTATTATTATCATTATGATTTCTATTATCACTATTACTGCTATCATTACAATGATCATGTTAATGGCATCACCCTCCTATCCTAAATACTATCCTTATTATTATTATCATTATCATTATTATAATTGCCGTCATCATCAGTATCATTTTCATTATATTCTTATTGCTGTTATCAATCGTTACAGGTATAGTCATTATTGTTATCATTATTACTAGTAGTAGTTGTAGTAGTAGCATCGCTATTATCAGATCATCATTAGTTATTATCATCATAATTACTATCATTATTATTATCAAAGTTACTTTCATTATTATCATCATAATTACGATCATTATTGTCATCATAGTTACCATCATTATTATCATCATACTTTTTTTGTGAGAGAGACCAGATGTGCAGACCGTGCAGGTGGTATGTGGTTGTCCCTTACCTGCAAGACGGCAACTCACGGCCTCGGGTCAATAATGCTGCA